TTGCTTGTGTCAGATTGACAAAACATTTTCAAGTGCAGGGAACTTGAGCTGAAAGGTGAAGTGGACATATGCCCCATTCCTAACCCAGAAGAAATATCCAGCTGCTAATGAAAATTTAGTTTCCTCCAGGGGAGTCTCACTGGGGAAACCAACTACTTTGAAGTGTAGAATGCATGTTCAACATTGGATGACAACAAAAAAGGAACTCATGGCATCTTTGGATGTTTCTAGTCTCACAATTTCATGACAGGGTATTTCACTTTTTTGTTTCTTTGTATTTTTAATCTTGTTTTTGTTGTTTTGTTTTGTTTTGTTTTGTCTTCTTATTTTTTTCTTCTCTCATTTTACCCTATTAGTTTCTCTGAGTATGTACAATGGCTACCACTTTATGTTTTGGTGGCATTGAGTGTGCAACAAATTGGGTCTCTGATTCATCTGAGTTTTCTTGGGCTCCTTTCCTTCTCTTTGTTTCTTTTGTTCAGTCTAATGTGTTATTTTTTGTTTTATCCTAGTATATTTTCTTTTAATGAATTTTATATTATTATAATCCCATAGCAATCTCTTTGCTTTCCAGTGAAAGACAAAAAGGTGTTGGATTCAGATGTGTGTGAATGTATGTGTGTGTTTGTGTGTGTGTATGTGTATGTGTTGAGTGGATTGTTATGTGCATGCGTGTGTATAAGAGTCCTTGGAGGCCCAAAGAGGGCATTGATCCCTTGGAGCTACTGTTACAGGTGGTGTGAACTACATTTTATGAGGGCTGTGTATTGAACTCAGCCATTTTGCAAGAGCAGCACATGATTTTGTCTACTGAGACATCTCTCGAGCTTCTGCAATATTCTGCAATATCTGTTTATTGAAACATCCTTCTCTCCTAAGTTCTACTCCTCTAACTCCCATGATGCATCAGAATTCTCTAGTCTTCCCTTTACAAGGGGTAGCATTGTGTTGCCTTCATCTGAAAACATGAAGTCACAAACTTCCTTCAATTTCTCCAATAATCAATTGGTGTCAATGTCTTACATTGACTAAGACATCAAAAAAAGCATCAGATTTTATTATAAATCTTATAGCATATACGAGACAAATAGAACATTACCACTCTGCACTAATGCCGAACAGCCATGTCTTGTAAAAAGAGATAGCTAAGTGGAAGATTGTGGGAGACAATGTAGATAAAAGTAGTACACATGTCACTGATAAACAACATCATTAAAAGAAACAGTGAGAGTCACTAGCTAATGAATAATCTTTCATCGTATGCTAATAGGTTGTTCAGTACCAACATTACATGTGTCATTTAAAATTTATGAAATGTGAGTTCTGGAAGATGATTTCTCCCTTAACTTTTGAAGAGAATTTCTCTCTGGTCTTAACAAAATGATATAGCACTTGGGGACAAAGACACATCCCAACAATCCAGCACTGGAGGCTAAGATGGAGAAGACCTCCACAGCCACCATGACCTTGCCCTTGGTGCTTTGGTAGACAGGGAGAAAAGTAACCCAGACACTGCAGAACAACAGCATGCTGAACGTCATGAATTTGGCTTCATTGAATGTGTCAGGGAGATTCCTGGCCAAGAAAGCCACAGTGAAACTCCCCAGGGCCAAGGAACCCAGGTATCCTAAGACAGAGTAGAAAGCAGTTACTGAGCCCTTGTTGCACACAATGATGATGTGGCCATGCTCAGAGTGTGCATCAATGTCAACAGAGGGAGGAGATGTTCCCAGCCAGATTGCACAGAGAATAATTTGGATGATGGTGCAGATGGGAATGATGTAGGTTGGTGCCCCTGATACCAGGAGCCACTTCATCCTTCTTCCAGGAGTTGTGACTTTGAAAGCCAAAACCACAATAATTGTCTTGGCCAACACAGTGGAAACAGCCACAGTGAATAAAACTCCATATGTTATTTGCTGCAGGATACAGGTAGCTGAGTTAGGATAGCCAATGAAGAGCAAGGAACAGAGGAAACAGAAGATGAGGGAGATGAGCAGGATGTAGCTGAGAGTGAGGTTATTGGCCTTCACAATGGGAGTGTCTTGGTGCTTCACAAAGATCCCAAGAACCAGAACAGTGAATGCAGACAAACACAAGGCCATACAGGACAGAGTCATCCCCAAGGGGTCATCAAAAGCCAGAAAGATCACATCTTTGTGGAGGCAGTGGTTCTGCTGTGCGTTGGCATACTGGTCCTCTGGACACTTCAAACACTGATCCATATCTGAAGCAGAAAGCAAAAGTATTGTTAGTGCAACTTCAGCATTTCTTATGGACAGGCCACTCCAGTGTATTTTGGAAGATTTACACCATTCACATACTTTATTGATAAAGATGTAATTGAGACTTTTCTGAAAAGCAGTGCTTCCATTTCATAATGCCTATCTTCTTCAAGGACAAATACAGATCCTATTGATACACTATAACATGAATCTTCATGTCTGAATTAGAAGTGATGCCCTCATGAGAGATGGAGACTTGGTCGTACTCAGGATGAAACTTCTTATAGTTTTATTTTTATTCCCTTATGATCACCAAACATATGAGTAGCCAAGCAACAACAAATTGAATCTATTGTGTGTGTGCATGCAAATGCATATGTATGTGAAAGTAGAAAATGGAAATGAGTGTTTGAAACTAGTAAATTAAAAAGAGCTCATGAGTTTGAGAGTTTTTGTTGCATATGAGTTGTGGGAAATAGAATGGGGAGAGAGAGAGGTTTTATAATGATGTATGAAATTCTCAAAAAATTATTAATATATAATGCCTTTAGTTGTGTCCTCATCAGGGAACAGGGACACTAAACCTTTTATAAAATGAAATAATCCTATTATTAAGGTAGAAACTCTACACATATATAACACCCAGAAGGCTTGTATCTTATATCACCACCTTTGTGAGTACAGAGCACCTTCTTCCTTCCCTAATTTCCTTCTACATGAGATCTCTGTGGGTACTTTCCCCCTGATATTCCTGGGTAGTTAGAGATAAGAGATTTAGATAGAAATATAGAGAGAAGAGAGAGACAGAAACACAAAATAGCCTCAGAGGAGCCTAGATCCTCATCCACCAGCCCAGAACTTTATTCCAAAGGAATTTTTATATCAGTGTCAAGGGGGGAGGCAAAAAACCTCCCCAATACTAGGTAAAGCTAAATGTAGACCCTACCAAACACTTAGTACCCAGGTCTGAGGTCCAGTCATCCTTGTATGCAGCCCTGCTGGTAAAGCAAGCTCAGATATCACTAGGAAACCTCTGTGGACTCCAAAAGACCTGGGTTCTACTAATGTACTCAATGGTGAAGGAGTTTTTGGTAAAACAGCATGAACAAGACAAGATGAGAACTCCCAAGTGAGAATGGCAACACAGAATATTTGAATTGAGCAATAATATCCTATTCATATGTTGTACTTTCCACCACAGTAATAAGTGAAATATGATTGTAATTGTGCTAAATTGTGGATACTAAATGAGAGCAATGATGTGCTTCCAGGATTTTAAGTCATTCCATGAATAAAACCAAACTAGCATTTATGGACAGCTATAATTACATTTTTTTGTTTGTTGTTCTTTAAGGGGCTGGAAAGATGGCTCATTTGTTAAGAACATGTTCTGCTCTTACAGGGGGCCTAAATCCAGTTCCCAGAACACGTGAAGTCCCAAATTTCTACCTGTAACTCTGGTACAAAGGGCATCAGATACCTCCGGTGTTCTTCACTAGGACCTGGACCTGTAAGGATTTACTATCCTCTACATATTCCTAATTCAAATATTCATAAACATAAAGTTTTTGTTTATTTTTTGTTGGTATTTATTAATATAAATGCCCTTTATAGTTATTATCTTAAATCAACTGTATTACAATCTGTTTATTTTTTACACATGTGTGTGACTGTTTTTTTTTTTTGTGTGTGTGTGTGTGTGTGTGTGTTTGTGTGTGTGTGTAAAGTGCAATTGTCAAGAAGGCATCTTGTAGGAATTGGCTCCATCTCATTTCAATGGGCTTCCTGCAATGAGTTCAGGTCATCAGACTTGTGGCAAGAGATTTACCTGCTAACTCTTCTCATGGACCCTAAATATCATTTTTTTAAGATTTATTTATTTATTATGTATACAGTGCTCACCCTGCATGTATCTCTGCACACAAGAAGAGGGCAGTGAATTTCATTATAGATAGTTGTGAGCAAGCATGTGGTTTCTGGCAATTGAACACAGGACCTCTAGAAGAGCAACCCATGCTCTTAACAGCTGAGATATCTCTCCAACGCCCCAAATGTCTTTTTAAAATGATGTTTGCATTATAGACAATGACTGGCAATAAAAGTCAAAAACAATTATGGACTCTCCTTTGAATTTGGCCATCTCCAAATCAATAACCAGTTGACTTACATGGATTGTGTATGCCAAACTATCATTGGAATAATTGCGGCTATTTCTTCTCATGACAAAACTATTTTATTTATATTATTGTGATATTCATTGCTACTGTGTACAAAAATCTTAAGTGGGATATCTGTCTTTTGCTACATCAAGTGTCCAAATTTTCCCCACTTTTTATATGAAATCAAGGGCTGTCTTGTGTTTAGCTGTTTCTAGTAATTTTACCCACAGTTCCTACTCTTTAGTCAGTACAACCTACAATGGCTTCAGTCAAAACTCTCTGTGAACCTCCCTCACATGGAAGTAACAGCACGTGCATCATCCCAAATTTTCCTTAGCAGGCTCCCATTGCAGCATTATGGTACCACCCTGAATTCACATCTTCATGCTGTCTTCCTCATGCACCTGTCAGCTAAATGATAACACAAAACACTAGCTATTTATCAAATGCTGAATAAACAGCATGCCCACCACCACACAATACTTCTTTACCATCACAGCACATGGTGACTCAATATTTCTGTTTGTCAGCAATGTTTGTAGGCAGTGGCAAGAGCAACTTGTGTAGGATTCATGACTTCAGTGGCAGGAGATGACTCAACAGTTAAGAGTGTTTACCAGTAGCACAGACACTGAGAGCAATAATTAATAAATAGGACAACCTGAAATGAAGAAGCTTTTATAGAGCAAAGGACAGGGTCAATAAGACCAAAGGACAGCCTACAGAATGGGAAAAGATCTTCACCAACCCCACATCTGACAGAGGGCTGATCTTCAAAATATATAAAGAACGCAAAAAGCTAGACGTCAAAATACTGAACAATGCAATTAAAAATGGTCTACAGAGCTAAACAGAGAATTCTCAACAGAAGAACCTCAAATACTTGAAAGGCAATTAAGGAATTGCTCAACATCTTTAGTCATCAGGGAAACACAAATCAAAACAATTCTGAGATACCATCTTAAACCTGTCAGAATGACTAAGATCAAAAACAGTGAAAACAGCTCATGTTGGAGAGGATGTGGAGCAATGGTAAGATTTCTCCACTGTTGGTCGGGTTGCAAACTTGTACAGCCACTCTGCAAATCAGTATGGTGGTTTCTTAGAAAATTTGGAATGAGTCTTTCTCAACACCCAGCTATACCACTCTTGGGTATATACACAAGGAATGCTCAATTTTACCAGAAGGACATGTGCTCAACTATGTTCATAGCAGCATTATTTGTAATAGCCAGAAACTGGAAACAGCCAAGATGCCATTCAACTGAAGAATGGATAAATAAAACATGGCACATATACACAATGGAGTACTACTCAGCAGTAAAAAAAATGATATCATGAGATTTGGAGGCAAATCTAGAAAATGTCATTTTGAGTGATGTAACCTATACTCAGAAGGACAAACATAGTATGTACTCACTCATAAGTGGATACTAAATTGGACAGAAGGAATAGCCAGACTGCAACCCACAACTCTGGAGAGTTTAGCTAACAGGGAAAGAGCCGAGGAGGGACATATGGATGACCCTGTGAAGGAAAAGTGGATGAGATCTATGAGTGGACTGGGTGTGGGGGTGGCAGAGGGTGAGGAGTTGGGGATGATAACAGAGGGGAATGGGAGGGTCAAACTGGAACAGGGACACAGTGGGAGGGCAGGGAGGAAGATTCCATGATAGATGAGGACGTCATGGTAATAGGAAGAGGCAGGGTGCTGGGGAGACTCTCAGGAATCCACAAGGTTGATCCCACTTTGGTCTGCTGGCAGTGGTCCAGAGGGTGCCTGGACTAGTCTACTTAATTGACCAGCCTAGCAAATAACCTAGCTGTCATCCTAGAGCCTTTGTGACTGATGGAGGCAGATACAGAGATCCATGGCCAGGCACCATGCTGAGCTGCGGGAATCCAAATGATGAGAGTGAGGAGGGATACTACAATAGAGGGATGTCCAGATTATGATGGGAGGACTTACAGAGATGACCTGCCACACTAGTAGAAGCCCATGAACTGTGGACTAGTGGCTGTGGAGCCCCCATGGGACTGGACTAGGCCTTCTGGATACAGAAGATGGTTGTTTGGCTTGAACTGTTCGGGGGGCACCCAGGCAGGGGGATCGTCATCTGCCCCTGGTCTATGGGGAGGCTTCTGGAATCTGGTGCCTGTGGTGTGACACCTTGCACAGCCTTGGTGCAATGGGAAGGGACTTTGACCTGCCTAGGCTCAGTGTGCTGGGCTCTGCTGACTCCCCATGGAAGACCTCAATTTGGGCGAAGTGGAGAGGCTTAGTAGCTTGGGAAAGTGGGCAGGGCGTGGGAGGTGGGAGGAAGGGGGATCGTGGATAGTATGTGGGGTTAGTAGAAAATTTCTTAACAGAAAAGTGGAAAAAAGAGAGCTTACAGGTCTTGCAGAGAACAAGGGTTTGGACTCAGCATCCATGTAGAAGCTTACACCTGTCTGTAACTCAAGGTCCAGGAGCTTGTATGCACTATTTTGGCCACCACAATCTCCTGCATATAAACTCACACAGGAATACATACATAGATTCAAAGAGGGTAAATGAATAACCAAATATTTACAAAGACTCATGACTCCAATCTAGTCTACATGTACCTTTACAGGGATATAATCATTTGGACAGATATAGTGTAGCATTCCCTCACAGGGGTGTATGATTTTTCAAGACAGTTTCTTTTACAAAATACTACCAACAGTGATTTTCCAGTGAGTCAAGGGTATATGTGAAGGCACAGGTTGTTATTTATAAGGACATTATTATTGATTGCATACTTGTAAAACAAAATTAGGAAAGGATTAGATTTTTTTTGTGCTATAAAAGGGCTACAGAACTTAATATGTCCCCAGACCCTCCCTAGCTCAACTGACTCCATGATAGAATTACAACTCAGACTATAAAACTCACCACTTAGCAGCACCACTTGCCAAACTGAAGCAAAGGCCTAATCCATCATAGTCCTTATAGTTCTGGAAAAGTCTCAAAATGTACTGACTTTGCTTTTTAGCTTTGTGGAACTGCTTTTGGCTCACTGTTCTTGGTAACTGAAGTATGTCAACCCAGAACATGGTTCTTTTGCTTCAAATCTGAACCTGAGAAAGGCTCAGTGCTACACTGGGGTCCTGTACACCAACTGTAGATGACATCCAGCTAATGAAGACTTTATTTAACTTAAACCTATGTCTGAGCAGTCTCCTCTTGTGAATATCACAAAGCAGTGCAACACCTTTCCAGGCCCCTTTGAAAGTGCAGTGTGGATAGCAGAAGTCATTTTTCAGTTCGGATAGAAGAAGAAAGTCAATCTGAACAATTTCTCCCTGCAGTAAACACTTACCTGTCTCATTGGAAATCTCATTTGCTGGGCAGGGGGTGCAATCAAAACAGCAGGCTGCCATTCCTTCTTGATGGATTTTTCTGAATCCAGGGTGACAATCAACACTGCACACAGCAGAGGGCATCTGAGGAAAATCAGATAGATGTTGGGCCAGGAGTCTGATTACCCCTTCAATAGTTATAGCATCTCATCATGTTGAGCAGTTAACAAGATTTCTTTCTATACATGACCTGAGTGAACACATTTCTTTCAGGACTTTGTACAAGTCCACACATGAATATGTGAGAACAAATTGATGAAGTGTTGAAGTGCTTCTGAACTACTAAAAGTTCAGGAAGATCTAGGAGTATATGTAGTGTCACCACTGGAATGCCTGAACTGAACATCCTACCCACCCATTGTGTAGCTTAGCTTTGTCAACTTGACACAAAGCAGAGCTACAAGAAAAAAAAAGAAACTTCATTGAGAAATTTTCTCTGTCTAATTGGTCTCTGGTCATATTGGTGACCTAATTTTTAGTTTTTCAGTCATTCTGGGAAGCAGCACCACACTTGATTCCATTTCTGAATTTAGTGGAAATGCTTTAAGTGTCTCTCCATGTTGTACAATGTTGTCTATGTTCAGTTTTATAAAAAACATTTTGTTAAAAAATGTCCTTTCTATTTTTCAAATGTGTTTTTTTATGTTTGCTTTCCCTGAATGGATGCTGGACATCGCTCAAGCTATTTTCTGTATCTTTTTCAATGAGCATATAATTTCTATCCTATATATTTTATCATATATTTATGTGACATATTATACTTGATTAATCTGCATATGTTGAAGAGCATGACATTGTTGTAATATAGTCACCTTGTGTGTAGGCATTGATCTTTCTGATGCGGTATTGAGACCTGTTCGCCAGTATTTACTTGAGAATTTCTCCATCCATGTTCATTAATTGGAGTACAGTTTTCTTCTTTCTGATTCACTTTACCTGGAATAGTTTTTTTCCTGTTATGTGGAGATTCTGTTCTTTATGAGTGCAATGTTTTCTTTCTGATCAACAGAGTATTGTTTGTTTTTGAAAAAAATTCCTTGTCTGTGTCCTTTGATTAAAGAGTGGGATTCTTCAAATTCAGTTATTAATGAATGTTATTTGTTACTATTGTCAATTGGTGTTTTTGTAATATTGATGTATTTCAAACCTTTGCTTTTCTGTCTAGTGATCTAGTGTAGTCTACACATTCCTGTGACATCTACTGTTTAACTTAATATTCAGTGTGAAGGAGTGTGACATGTCAAGACAGTCTGGAATTGTCTTCCTTAATGATGTTCCAGTAGCTATGTATTCCTGCAATTTGTGGTCACCATTACAAATTTTTCTATCTTCTGGAAATGATGAAAGACAGCTTTGTTGTGTGTAGTAATTGAAGTTGGAAATTTTGTCTCTGTTTGAAATATATAAATGATACTCCCTCCTTTTAAAGTGTCTATAAATAAAGTTACTATAATTATGAAGACTTTCAATGAAATTGACCTTCTCTCTTGTAACCTAAATTTCCTCTTTAGTCTGCCTAATTCAGATTTTAAGTAATATTCAAAATTCAGAATATCATTTTCTGAACCTGTCTGTTGGGCACTCTGACTGCCTCCTCTATCTGGATGGCCGTATTTCCCCAGCATTTGGTAAAATTGTGGCTGTCATTCTATTAGAAATACCTTTGGTCCTTTCACATGTTGTCCTCTTTTGTCTGTGCTTTCTTAATTTGGCATTTTATTGATCTTCATCATTCCTTATTGTCTTATATAATGGGTTATATAAGTATATAATTGCATAATGACTTAACTATATACTTAGGTAATGAATTATATAATTATATTGTTTTATATAATAAATTATAATTCACCTGTCTTGTTTCAAGTCCCAATAGCCTGTCTTCTACTTGAGATATTGTCTTTTAACGTGTTTTATACAGTTAGCTGTGTGAACTGTTGTGTCTTTCATTTTCAGAATGACAGTATGAATTCTTCATTGTTATTGAACCTTTATTGAATTTTTGATTCTTCTTCATTCAATTCCTTATTATTTGCAAGTGTTTGTCTAGTTGGATTATCCTCAGAGGTAACTTGAATGCTCTTTGATTTCTGGAACATTCTTACCACTATTTGAAGTCTTTGTTTAGTATGTTATTGAGTTCACTGTCACATAAGACTATGATTGTATCATTTGGAGTCCTGCTTCCTCACTGTTTGCAAGTTTCATTTCTGCTTAGAATTTGCATATCTAGAATATGGCACATATTGGTTTGTTTTTAGTCCTCCCTATCCTTTTGGTTGATGTTTTGTAATGTTCGTTCAAGTTAGGCCTGGTTGAAGCAGACTTGTGATTTCATTACTCTCTTCTGATCTAGTGGTACAGGCTAGTAGCTAAAACTTCAACCCATTTGCTCTGTTCTCTGAGCATAATTTTCTCATCACTGTGAAAATAGAATATTAACTCCTGATTTAACTCTATCTTAGCAACTTGATATATCACTTCAGATTAAGTTTGCACACTTTCTGGAAGTAAACCCCTTTCAAATTCAGCAAACAATATTGTAGTAGGCAATGTAGTTCAGATAATATAAAACCAGACACATCAGAATCAATACCTATGATATATCTGGGAACACATAATGGGATATTTTATTTTCAAAATTTTCCAAAGCCAAATTATTATAATTATGAGTACCTGCCCAACCAAACAAGAAAACAATACAAAACTTTCTGTTTATTTTTTATTTGTTTGTTTGTTTGAATGAGTTATGCAAGAATTAAGGTGCAAAGAAATGCTCTCATAATGAAGGATTCCTTTCAAAATTATGATTGAGGGCTGGAGAGGTGGCAGCAACCTATCACATTTGCTGCTCAATCCGCCAACTCCTACACTTAGCCTAAAATTGTTTTCAGGCACTGGGTATCATAGTCCCTCTGTGGGAATGCTTACATAACTAATACTCATATGGAAAAAATATATACAGGCAAAACATCAATATACATAAAAATTATAAAAAAACAAGTTTTAACTAATAAAATATCTAACATGGTCCATGAAAATGTGAATTTATTGTTAGACAAGTAGGCAGTTTAGGAATTCCTAGTCAAAGTACTTGAATAAAATTATAGAATATAAATTAATGACTTGTATATCTGTTCCTAGTTTCAAATCTTTCCTTACAAATAGCTTCAGTCTTTCCAGCATGTGGATTAGAAATTCAACCGAAGAGAAGAAAATTAATGGGCAGCAATCAGAATGGTACCAAGAGAATATTGGTAAATTTACTGTGAATAATATCAAGTGGTCATATCTAGTTTTATAATTGTTTACAAAGCAGAATATTTCTGATATGATAAATATATATCATATGTTTGTCTTAGATTTTCAAAAACTTACCAAAAAATCATATTTTTAAAAAATGATGGGAAGAAACATCATCCAGAAGTTTAAAATTGTGTCTTTACATGATCATACATCTAATTTCACTAAGTCACCGAGAAACCCAAATGGCCTCACTTGACAGTAGCTACAACTCGGAAGTGTACATCAATATATTTTGTCAGACGCACCTGTCTACTTCTTGTGACCCACTCTATCATATCTTCATATAAATGGAGCTGTTGACCATGTGGAAAATATGGCATAAACTCTCCTATTTTTACCTTAAGTCCAACACCATGGGGGAAATTAGAAATGTGGTAAATGCCATACTCTGCTTGTGGTTTTTCTTTCTGATTCATAT